CTTTCTTCGTAGTTTCCTTGAAGTCGCGGAAGTCCCTGTCCAAAGACGATTGTAACAAGAAAACTAGTGTCACAAAAAGATTGCAAACCTCAACACTTCTTCAGAAACGCTGGTATTTAGATTTAGTGCCTGAAGACCAGCATCACTAGCTGATGCAGATGACCGTGGTGACGATGTTGCTGGAACCTGCTGAGACGAATCCTGGAAACGAAATTCCATCAAAACACAAAATCCCGACTTAAAATACAAATGCACCTGCAGAGGCCGCTCCACTGCCGTAGGCGTACTGACATTGCTTTCAGTCGATCCAGAGACGCTACCAAAAGTTTCTTCATTCCAGCTGTTTGCGGCCTTGTGGTGATCATCTTCTCCATCACCCTCGGTATGCGATCTCAAGACCGAAGAGAACCTACTTTCTTCATCAAGAGTATCCAGCTCGGCGTCCGAGACGCCACGATCCTGATAGTCTACACAGTTAGCAAAGTAGACAGTGTGATGAATTACAGACCTCAGCCAAGTGATTGTTCCTCGTTGAATCACCCTCGATTTCTCTCGCTAGCCTGGAGGCCTCTCTTTCTCGTTCCCTCGTTTGAGGACCCTTCTCCAGCTTTGTTGTATACAACTCCTCGTCAAATGTGGTTTCAACTCCGAACAAGGCTTTGTTTGTTTCGAACTGATCCCAATTTCTGAGAAAACAAACAATGCCTTCAGTAAAATCGAAACTCGCCATTAACTAACCTGTTCCAAGAGTTCTGGAAGGTAGTGTCCAGTCCCAGATTTCTCGGAGCTTCGCTGTCAGGCTTCCAAGGCTTCAATTCCCTCTCCGTGTCGCGTCGGTTTTGGGAGATAAATGAATCAGTCAGAAGCTCGTTCTTATTTTCGCGAGAACGACCATTCGGAAGGTATTCCCCGGTGAGAGAAACATCCTGAATAAAAGGCAGAGATATCAGTCACAGGAACATATAAAATAGAGAAAAATGAATGCGAGGCACCTTAGCATCGATCTGCACTAGATCTTTTGCGTAAATGATAAGCGATTTCGTCGGTGGTTTCCGTGCAGCCTGCTTCACAGCGTCACCCTTTCCAGATTTCCCGCCGGCTTCCTTTGTGAGCCTGGCCATCTTAAGAACCACTCCTGGAAAAAAAGCGAAAACCCACAGAGCGTCAGCTACGATAGAATCGCGAAAGAAACAGAAAACAGCATACCGAAATCTTTATCCATATTCGCAGTGTGAAAAATCCCCGAAAAGACCGAGCCATCCTTGAGCTGGACCTCGACGAACTGCCCAACTAAGCACATCGTGAGATAGAGGAGACGGCCATGGACGTCGTGAGCTCCACCCCTCAGCTCCTCATCTTCG